TATACAATGCTGCTCTCGATGAAGCTGCCGAGCTTGTCTGGCAACATCAACATGGCACGCCGTCTCCCCGTCCCGACGGACCCTACCGCTATAAGCCACATCTCAGAAAGAATAGCTACGCCCATGCTCGTACTGCTAGTGTCGGCGGTACGCGATCGTGCTCAGGCAGTTCTTCGGATGGTGAAGGCGTCGAACGTGAAAGCAGACCCGACTTGGAGCAGAGGCAGCCAAGCATACAGCCAGATCACAAAAACAAGACATATGGCACTATTGGTCGTTCAGGCAAGGCTCCAGAGCAGAGACGCCAGGGAAGTCTGAAAAGAAACATTAGCGGGGAAGTAGGTCGTCCCTTTTCTGGAGATCAGATTTGGGAAGAGCCTGAAGTCTCAACTTCTAATAGCATGAGCTTTTCTGGTCGTGCATCACCCGAGAAGCTTGGCAACCGAGATCAGGCAGCTACAAACCGAGTGCGCTTCGAACCTCCACGGGAAGAAGAAAAGACCAAGCCCCTTGAGCGAGTTGAAATACACCGCAATCCTCCCACACGCTCTCGCAATCCTCTCTATACAAGAAACCGCTCCAACGACAGCTCCGTCTCTATTGATGACAAGGTAGAGAGAAAGAACGGCATGGAAGTTCGGAGTCAGGACATTCGCGCGGCCACGAGCATGCGCTTGAAAGATCGCAGCCCAAACCTCCCGGAACCCACAGCCGTCAGTGACAGTCCGGGACGGCCCATTGTAAGCTTCGACGCCAACTGGAAAGCCCCGGACGAGTCCACTGATACCACCCCAGACCGGTCGCTTCCGGCAACCCCCAGCAGATCCTCCTCCTCCTTCGCCCAGCCGGAGAAACCCATGGCGGTACCTGGTATCGTTGTGGCGGAGGAAAGTTCGCCGATGCCCAGGGCGCCAACGGGAACGAAAATCCCGTTGATCTGCATAGACGAGACATCCCATAGCCCTAGAGGCTCCGTCCCTTCGACCAACGTCCCCGATATTGCTATCAATGAGGCTCCGGGTAAGGGAGGCAGCATTCCTGCAATCATAGCTCCTGACGACAAACCGAATTCAACCTCCCGTCCGCTTCCTGATCCCATTGCCAGGGGAGCACCCCGTTCTGCACAAAAGCCTCGTGGCCATTGGTCCCCAGCCCCTGGCAGCAATAGGCGAGCTGTCACGATTTGCCATGAATGTGGCATGCCCATCGAAGGGCGTTTTGTGGCTCTAGCGGGAAGCAATGAACGATTCCATCCGCAGTGTTTCAGCTGCTATACTTGTGGTACTAACCTACAGGCGATGGAAATTAGCCATGAGCCTGATCATCTTCGTCAGGAGCGGCTTGATCGCATCAGACGTCGCGCTGCTGGTGAGATACTCGAAGAGGAGCAGGGCAAAACGATGGCCGAAGACGGAGATGAGCGTCTACGATTCTTTTGTCACCTCGATTGGCATGAGCTGTTTGCGCCGCGTTGCAAGCACTGCCAGACCCCTATTCTCGGGGAACACATAGTAGCTCTTGGAGCTCATTGGCACTATGGTCACTTCTTCTGTGCCGAATGTGGTGACCCATTCGAACATGGCATGACACACATTGAGAAGGATGGTTATGCGTGGTGCATCAACTGCCAGACGAAACGCACCGAACGACGAGCTCCGAAGTGCAGGAAATGCCGTACAGCTGTCATCGGACAGTATATCCAAGCGCTAGGCGGAGAGTGGCATGAGCATTGCTTCCGATGCGCCGAGTGCCAGGGCGGTTTCGACGATGGCCAAATCTTCACTAAACATGTGCCTGAAGGCACTATCGTGCTCTGCACTGGATGCCGAGCTATGGAACTCAAAGCGTAATGATGATGATGTGTGTGATTTCGGCGTGCGTGTTTTGATTTCTGCATGCGTTTCTTTCATGGTTGGTCTGTTTCCCTTCAGGTTTGCCGGTCAGCGTATGATTTGTTTTGTGCTTTTGATTTGGTCTTCTTGAGTGTTTCCAGGGGAGCGGCGCTCGAAGCGCTCAACTTGGTCATGTAGATTGTCTCATTGGAACATCTTGGCCATAAGGCAACATAGACACGGCGCGAACTGTGAGTCTGCGATTTCAACTCTAAATGGCCAACACAAACTTCGGTTCTGCCTACTTCATACATATCAAGTTGTTCCCCCCACATCTGTGTGATCCTGACTCATTGTTATTCTGTAAACGTCACCTTAAGAGCAAGATTATGCAGGCCTATTCTCTGTGGGGCCAAAACACACAGGTCTTTCGTACCACTGCTGCGGAAGATAAAAGAAAACCATACAATTTACCACACGGGTCACAACGGGAATAGAGGGGCATTGGGTTGATTGGGTAGTGTTTAGTCTGTCGTAAATCATTCGTCGACCTGTTGTTTCAGTCTTCCTCTCGTCTGATGTACGCAAAGCCAAAAGTACAACCAGGTTCAATCGAAATCCAGTTCAAGAATATCATTCTTGTGTGTTCATCTCTTTTGGGATCTTCCTCCTGGTAATTATTCCTCGGAATTCTCCCTCTCTATTACTGTGCATATCCGCCAACCTGCTCCTGGTGGACCTCGAGGGTATCGCCATCCTGCATCTCGAGCTGTGTGATGTAACTTGTCAGCATGTGTAATCCCCCCGGGGAGTTTTCAGTAGCGTGCAATTTAAACATAGATATCAAACATCCGTGCCTACAATAGGGAAGCGAAAACGTACCGCATCGGGTGTATCAGTGGGTTGGACTCGCGTGCCGTCGAAAAGAAATCGCACGGAGCTGGTCGCCTTTCCCTGGCGCTCGCAAAAGGCTCCCATAAGCTTCTCAAGCTTTGTAGTGCGCTTGATCTTGAAGAAGACCTCGTTGTTGTTGTCGGTAACCTTGATGTTGAGGTGCTCGGAGTTGGCGGGTGCCTGCTCGCCAGGAGTCCCGTTTTCGTTCTCGTTGGACATTTTGAATTGGTCTGGATGGAATCTATGCACTTAATACGAAACAACGTCAGCGCGCGGCTCGAGGTGAAGTGCAGGAGTGAAAGTGTGGCGAGATATCGCAACAATCATAGTGTTACCTTAGCACGGTGGTCGTTAATGGCAAGTTTGGCAAGTGGGGGTGATGATCGCGTTATGCGCGTTTGGCTGACGAGAGGTAGAGCGGCGAGCTACGAGCGTGTTAAAGAAGAGGTGAAGATCGGGCGGCCAGAGTGTGGGTGCGAGGAGAAAATTATTGAACAGATCAGTTGTTGGTGGGAGGTATAAAAGACTATGGTGGGTGATGAACCTACTAAGATAGACAAAATAGAAGGCAATCAGCCTTAGACTTAGCTGCTGAGGTCAGTTGCCTCTCGCTCGGGCTTCGTTCAGCACTCATTTGAACATCAAGCGGGCGAAAAGCCCCCGCCAACTTCAAGCGTGTAGGTGGGGCCAAGAGACAAACGTCTGTCTTCAATTGGCTATCTACAGCTTTGATCAAACCCTCTGTGATCGGCCTACCCTATACCAGAGATATTATATCAATCAGTTGCCAGAAGCTGCTTGGTATATTTATACTTATTTAACTATTAAATATTTATATATTTTTTCTTGCTTACTGTGTAAAAAGCATTAAGTTAGGTATTTATAAAAGCACTTAATTTTTTTATTTTTTGTTTCTCTTCTATAAGTAGGCTAGGTAAGGTAGGCTAAGTTGACTAGCAACATGACATCAGTCTTGTCTATTTGATCTACATATATATCTCATCTTTTATTACAGACTAATGTTTATTTATCATTATTACACAAGAGGCAAGATATCTACATACACATCTATGTCATTACAGTCTGCATTTCTGTTTGATATTGACTGGGTGACATATTGATCCGCAAATCTACCACGCTGCAAATCATTATATTCAACACGACTATGGTTCGTTTCGCGATAAACGACAGAGTGAAACGCTCAGGAAAAGCTAATGGATAACCATAGGCTCCGAAAGATGATGTTGAGGCGAAGCCTGCGTGTCACCCACGTGCAGTAAGTTCCAAAGTCAATGATGTTAAGTGACCGTTGTGATCTGACACACATGCAGTGTGCAATTCAAAGTATTCACTCCAGACACGAGAATACAAGATGGAGAGAAAATACTGACCCAAATACAACAAGACTGTCTTACCAGCAATGGCTACAACGAGGCCAAGTGCCAAACTGCAATCAAGCGACTTTACGAATGCTGTGAAGCATTTTACGAACGCTACGGTGAAGAAGCGTCTACTGTGAGCTGTCCGAAGCCCAATCTTCTCAAGCTCAAGATGAAGCAACTCCGGGAGGAAGCTAAATGATATGTAACGCTCGTCTTTGATGTGTCCGCCGGTTTGGGAAACGCTGGCAACTTGAATGATGAGCGCCGAATCTCTTCTAGGCGATCGTTGAGCACGCAAGAGGCCTCATGGACCTGAACAAGCATTGAAGGCCTGTTCCGAGACTCTAATACGAATGCCGATGACATTATGATAGAGAAGAAAAAAGAAAAAAACAAATTTGCTGTTTGGTGGAGACGTACTTGAATCAGAACAGTGTTAAGTGCGAATATCCCCATTTATACACTGTACGATACGCGCGCGTGCAATCGCGGCTGTTTTCCTTCCAGCGCAAAAGTCTGAGCTTGCTTAAAGGTAGTTTGGTACCTAGGTACCTAACAAAATAACAGTACGTACCTCTTAGGTAGCTCCAACCTTCCAGCGCGCCAGTGCTACTGCAACCAAAACAATTCTTTGATTCTTCTGCCTGAGTATCAAACCTACATAAGCATCGTCGGCAAACTTCACGAGCATAATCCTTCCTTGACGCTCACAAAAGCGATACACGCGACAAAATACCTACCCCCATACTGGGCATGCTTACGGCATTGATAGATCTTTACGTTTGACCTGTCGGCCGAAACCTGCCGAAAAGGGTTGTTTGCTCTCGCGCTGTGTACTAAACCATACACTCGACTTGACAATCCCCAAGACAGGCCAACCTGAGTCACTGAAATGGCACCTGTCGAGGCTGAGAAATTTCTATCTTACGAAGCCGGGCCCGAGGTCGAAGAGTTCGCCAACGCGCTCGATGACTGTCTCTCCCCTCCCCTCTCAAACGAAGAACGACGAGAACGAATTATAGACCTACCAAGAAAATACTATGAGAATGCCATTCGACGCCTAGCACAGGTCCGACCGCGCATGACGCGCAATGGACAAGACGATGTCGATATGGATGCAGACGACGATGGTACTAATAGCAACCCTGCCTCAGCAGAGCTTGTCAAACGTCTCGAGAGGGAAGCGCAGACATGGGATCTATTGCGCAGGCTCCTTCCACTAAGATATGCTAGTTCTGATGACGGGCACAGCGCTTCCAAAACCGAACAGAGCTCCGTGGATTCAGGAGACCTGTTCAAGAGTTTCCTTGCTAGTGATTCATCGGCGCGAGAACGTCAAGCAGTCATACAATGGCTCCAGAGCAATGCTTCTTCGGGACCGGATATCAACGAGCTTGCGCATGAACTCCAGCAAAATGCCGACCGTGGAGATATCATTGCTCACGGCTGGCTTCACACTCGCTCCTCAATCAAGCTTCGGAAGGGCGTAACAGCTTGGCCCCATCTACTGGATCGCCAGTCACCAGCTATTGCAACCTCATTTCATACCTCAGATGGCTCACCTCTGGTGACACAACTGGACCCAGACGCTGCGACTCGCCAGGGACGAAAGCTTGAACCGCAAGATGAGTATTTCGAGCGTGCCATTTGGTTGGGTTGCTGGGAACACCTCCGCCGAGGATCAAGTTTGGAGTCTATTCGTGAATGGTGCCAAGAACGAACCGAAATGTGGCGGGCTATTTCGACCTCTGCGATACTTCTTTCGGCCGACGACAGCCAGGGAGTGGCCGACACTAAACCAGCATCACTTGCTCTGTGGCGACGAATGTGCTTCAGCTTGTCTCGATCTGGTGGTTGTGATGACTACGAGCGTGCGGTATATGGTGTTCTATCGGGAGACATCCCGAGCGTCGAGAAAGTTGCCCTGAACTGGGATGATTTTCTTTTCGCGAACTACAATGCATTGCTACGCACACAGCTTGACAACTACATACTTGGACAATGCCCAGCCGACGTTGCTTCAAACCTCACACAATCCTTTCCTTCATTTGACGCCATTCAATTTCACGGTGAGCCAAGTACAGTTGACATGCGCCTAATCCGAGCTCTGGAAGCCAACCCTCAGATCAAAGACGAAGCCAACGAACCCAATAAGGCGTTGCAGGCATCACTAATTTCCAAGGAAATTGGCCAACATCTTTATGAGCAGGGCTTCATCATTTCTTCTGGCGCAAATCACAACGAGTCAGCACTCTACAGATCAGAGTCTAGTAAGCTTGAGGTAAACAAGGAGAGGTTCTTTCAGTCTACGCAGCACTACGGCCTGCGGATCGTCGCACATATCTATCTCCTCATCAACCTCTTGGATAAGCTGAACTCGAAGGACGACTCTCTCGCCCCTGCCTATTCCCCCCCTGAAATGAGACGTTCCCAACAGAACCTCATTGCCGGGTACGCGAATTATCTTCGCCTTGCCGAGTTTCATGAGTTAATACCTCTTTACTGTTCGATTTTGGAACCCCCTCGGTCATATGAGGTGCTTAGCTACAACCTCATTCCCGAAAATGAGGCGAGCCGACGTTTACTACAACTGAGACTTATTAGGAAAGCCGGCATCGACGTGCTGGAGTTTGTCAAGACTCAGGCATGGCTTCTGTTCGATGATCTGGGCCCGGCGCAGCATGGATGTCCTGCCAAGGAAGGGTTTAGCATCATTGAGCCTGGCCCACCTACTTCACGCAGCGGTCGTCCTGTGAGGCCCGATTTCTTTGGTGATGATGAAAGATTCGTTGATCAGGCACATGAGAACCTCATCCGATCACTAGAGTGGCTGGTACTGGTGCAAGAAACATGGCCCAACGTGTTGTCTATGGGAACCAAGATCTACAAATTCTTTTTGCGTGAGTTATTTTGCTGTAATCAATCGGTCGAAAACTGACAACGCCGTAGGCAACATGCACCTCAGCGCTGCTCGTCAGCTGATGAAGCGAGTTCCATTTTCAGAGGTCCTTCATGCAGCTACGGAAGAAAACGGTGATGAGATAGAGTTATACGAAGACATTCCCGAGTTTTGGGCCAGGCAACTTGATCGGAGAGGTATTCGGGACGTGACACCGCAACAAGCACTTTCAGATGCCCGAAATTTCCGCGAGCTGGAGAATCTAGTGCGAGCCCTGGATAGCTTGGAGACAGTCGCGTCGCTAGCCGAGCTTACAAATGAGTACGCCAAAATAGAAAACCCTGGAGCAGGCACGGCCAACATATTAACGAGAGACAGGGACCAAAAGAAAAACCGAGAGTTCTGGAATGCTATTGGTGACGAAGTCAAGAACACAAAAGAAAACATGCAGCCTCTTCTCAAGAACTGGCTCCTGGTGGGCATCGAGGGTAAGTGAGCCCCTATCACCAGGCCACATCTCAGTGCTGACACACAAATTAGAAGGTGATCAAGAACTACAAGATCTCCGTCAAGCCTATCTACCCGAAACAGTTCTAGCATACGTTGGCACGCTGCACTTTGCTGGCACTGGCTTGTCTCGAGACAACCTCCTGGAGTGTATGGAGCTTGCTTCCATCGTTGCAGAGCGCGATTCGGATCTGTCGGTTGCATTCTTAGAAGCTGGAAGAATGAAGGAGCTGGTGGAAGTATTTGCTGCTAGCAGCAAGGCATTAGCCATCAGCACTGGCGAAAAGAGAACCGCGAGCACTGGCAGCAAGAAGCTGCGAGAGATGGGTTGGTCCCGGGATCTGTGGTCTGTCAGGCCATGAAAGGTTTCAAGTACGCATGGATCTATCATTCTCAGTTGGTGAAGACGGGCATGAATTGTAAAACAATAGGGGTGTTGGTCGGAATCAGTACATGAGAGGAATCGAGTCAATGAAGAAACATGCTAAATCTCAATAAGTTAATCGAGGCAATGAGAATAGAAAGCCCAGATGATAAGACGACCTATTTGGCTTGTAATATTCCACTTTCTTTACTCCGTAATGTTCTGATTATTCTGAGATTGATAATACCTGAAACGTAGGGACTAGACCTATGACATAATCTGTCAGAAGCTCCCCACTTTAGACCTGCGTCTTCCAACTCCAATTCAATGGGAATGGAAGTTTACCTACCTATCTTACCTACCTAAGGTAACTAACTCCTTATCGCATTTACTCCTAACCAAGGTACTTCCCAATTGCAAAGAGCACAGCGGAGTGATACCTGCAATGGCAAGCTTCGCAGCTGAAATGCAGGGCGCAACTCCTCCTGTTCTTCCCCCCAAGCCTGGCAGCCATGAGACGAGTCGCATTGCGACACCGACCTCATCAGGCGTGCCTCCACCATCCGAAGGCCGCATCCCTTCCAACACTGTAAACCACGCACCAGCATCAATTCCCGACCCAGGCGAGCAATGGCTTCCTCAGATTCTACAGGACAAGTCGTATGTGATAACCCAATCGCAAGAGTGCACTACTAAATTCTGTGGCAAGAAAACAAGACCTGGCTGAACTGCTTGGTAACCCAACTCTCCTCAACGCATTAACGCACTCTCCTGAATCCATTCACCCTTCCCTGCTTGTGTCGCATCAAGCTCTATCCGCCGCCCTCAACGAAAACATCGACCTAGCTGGCCAACTCACGGACATGGAAGCTCGGCTATCCCATCAGCGCGCATCGACACAGGCACAACTTCTCTCAACACACACACTCGAGCGACAATGGCGCCAGAAGCAGTCTGACATGGATCACGCGCTGGCGCCTTTCTCACCAGCAGCGTTATACCAGCAGCTGGGACAGGGCGTCCAGGAGCAGGCATCGGTGTGCGAGGCTATGGAGGAGAGTTTCCTCGACGGAGAGGGAGAAGGGGTATCGGCGACGGAGAGGGAGGTTACTGATTGGGTGCGTAAATACAGAGAGGCTAAAGTCCAGTACTACTTGAGACAAGAGCGGAAAGAGAGATGGGACGAGGGACGTGTCGGTGGATGGAGATGAAGAGTTGACATTGTATTTTTGAACTTTCAGGTATTCGATCTTACCTGGTATAGATCACCAGCGCTTACGAATCACGACACAGAATCATACGCTGAACATTTTCTTCAGCCCTGTAGACGATTACCCCAGATCCGTCTCCTTTGAGCTTATACATCGATTTATAGCACGGCAAACTGTTACATGCGATATAGCTGGGACGGATATGCTGTTGAATGCTTCCCACTATAACCAACGCTCGCTTATCCAACACGGGTATCTATGTTACTGACTTTGAAAGCCGTACAAACTTGCTGATCCTCTTCAATGGCGCTATGAGTATCAAAAGAAGAAAAAAGAAGAAAAAAAGGTCGCATCTCACGGTCATAGCGCGCTGAAAGGACTCTTCTTCATATCTGGGCTGCGTGGACTCATGGGCAGAGCAAACAGCTCATCGTCGTCATCTCGCCGTAGAGGTCTGGCAGGGGCTGAGGCAGCTGTAGTAATGTCGCCATGTAATGCAGCATTGAGCGATATGGGCCCTGTAGATGCGTTGCTGGCCATGGCCTCATGGGACGACACAGCGATATCACGCCCTCTGGGTTGAAACGGATGAGATTGGCTAATGGGGCTCATAAAGGTGTTCGCTTTTGAGAGAAGTCAGCTTGTGCACAGGGACTGGAGCGATGAATCTCAAATACCTGTCGTGCTCGGTGTTAGATCAGCAGGTGATGTGGCCAGCTTGAGACCTTTGAGCTTGTCCCCCAAGCGGCCTGTAGGTGAACGAGTGGCTACAGGACGAGGCATGGAATCACTGGGAAGTTGCGGCGCGTTGATAAATGTGTCGAGAATCCATTGCCTCTCAGCGAGGGCCATCTCAACACCCACTCCCTCAGAATTATTGCGAAGCTCGTCGGCTACCTCCCGATCTATGGCTGCCAGGCGCTGGCGAGCCCATAGCGTGTGCAGAACTCCCCGATTGCCGGGATCAGCGGCAAGGCCTGGTGGGAAGATGGCCGGAAGCGGTTTGAGGGTCAAACTGGGTGAGCCAGGAGGCGTGATAGTGATCGTCGAGGGGACCGTAGCATCAGCGGGGAGCAGGAAGAATACACGGCGACGACGTTGACGAGATGAAGACGCAGGAGCAGTGCCCGCACCGTTGTCTGGCTCAAGATCAGCAGCAGGGAGGTTAGTAGACTTCCCCGGCCACGACACCTGCCAACATGTTCTGTTGATGCTGTCCACCGGAGCAGAAGCCGGAGCCGGCTCCGTTGCGGAGATGCGATCGGCAGCCGGAGCGGATTGTGCACCGGGGGTGTCGGCAGGACAATTGGCAGATGCAGCGGGGCCCGGAACGGCATCGGGATACCACTCCACCATCAGAACCTTTGTGCCAGCATCGCTGAACTCGAAGCGGGCTAGGTGCTGAGCCTCCACAGAAGGGACGATAGGGGCTTCACCGACAACGGCAGATGCAGATGGGGTTCTAGGCCGAGAAGAGCCCGAAAACGGGCCAGTCGTCATGGCTTAGGGCTACTTGCTCGTTATAGGGAAAGCGAGAAGGTAACAGAGAAGAATTGATATTAAGTTCCAGGATGAACGCTGCTGAACAGCGGCTCTGAATTCGAGCGGAAGAGTATGGAGATGGAGACGGAGACGTGGATTGGGATGGGGGTTGAGAAGGCGGAGACGGGGTCGAAATCTGGGCACTTTCGATACTAGCCCGATGGCTTTGTTTCGATTTCGTTCTAGGTAGGCTCGCTGTGTGCGCTGTTTCTCTCTCAGCAACTGTTACTGGCTTCGGCTGGGTAACTGCTGTCTTCTCGGCGACTTGGGCCTTTGCGTTTTTCAGGGTCCCGCTCCTTCTCGGACCGAGCGAGACGAGGCTATTTCGGTGAATAAGGTATCAGAGAATTTAGCCAGGTAAGGTACTGGGTATATTGGTTTAGTGAGGTATGAGCAGGAGGCACCGGACACATTCCGCAATGCAGCCGGAACTGTGTCGGGTGCTATGTCAAAATGAGTTGACTCTGAACGTCTCTGATGAGGGTAGGCGACGAGTCAGAGGGGAGGAGACGGCGGTGGCGGTAGGTAGTGGCGGGGGAGTTTCCAGTTTCAGGACATTGACAGAAGACGGAACATTAGGTAGGTTGTGTTGAACACGAGATGAGATGGAACATGACATGACATGGTTGTCAGCTTCTAGTTTTTGAGCGTTTATTACATTACCTATTAGAGAGGAGAAGTTTGAGGGGGGAAAGAAGTGGACTGAATGCGGGATGGGACGGAATGGATTGGGGAAATGCTATGGACGCATCTACCTTCCTCCCTTTAACATTTAGGTAGGGCAGTAAGGTAGTGTAAGGTAGGTACTAAGTGATAGCCATACATAAGGTAGGTAGGTAGTACCTATTATCTACAACACTGTAATAGAGGCCGATTGCACGGAAAGGGAAGCTGTAGCAGAGACGATCCAATCATTCAGATGAAGTACTTGATAAGAACATGTTTATTGGAAATGGAAGCAAGAAAGAACACGCAGAGAAGCGCCATCTATAAGGTAGGTATCTACCTTGGGTACCTTCCAAGGTACCTAAGATAGGTACCGCACCTTCCAGCTTATGGAACTCCTCAACAACCTTACCTTAGGGTGCTAGCCAAGGTAGTAGAGTTTTCCTTTATCACCTTGACACTGGGAGTGATTCGCAGCGTCTAAGAGCTAGGGTGTAGAAAAAAAAACATGGAGATTGGCTTTTACCCAGCCTCAAACTAAAGACAGTCTCGCATTTTCGACTCCCAACTCAAGATACCGTCTACAACAGGCTATCGAGTATTCTAGTAGGTTGGTACATTAATGTGTACTGACTGAGGCAGTGCTGACTGCCCGGGCCTGTTCCCTTGTCTAGGTAGGCTCCCCTGGTGACTTAGTCCCTTAGGTACTTGCTAGGCTGGGCTGGACTCTATCGGTATATCGGGACGAAAGCCATTCTTATCGGCCGATTGCGTGACAGAAATTGAGACCAGAGTGATGTAGAGTCATAAACATATCTATGTCGTCAATAATCACAGCATCTACTGTACAGCCTGAGAATCAAGCTTTATTAGCATGTGCTGCTGATCTCCATTAGAGACTCTGAGCAGGTGCCTTTGTAAATATGAGATAGGCGATCTTAAGCTAGTATCCCTTGACTCTACAAGTATTTGTGCACATTACGTACCTTATATTTAAATTCTTTTTTATTCTAATTTTTCTTTCAAACAAAATCTCGAGTTAACGTAAAGTTATATTGGAAGAGAAGTGTTCTGGGATGCCGGTCGAGTAGAGGAAACGTTACAGGATCTCATGCCAATGCCGCGTCGCCCCAAAAACAAGGCTCTTCTACCATATTGACGTCTCTGTCTATTCCACGAACTGCCGTAGGCTCTACTCCGAGTCATTTTACTAGCAGCATAGGTATTGATCCCCTATAATGTCTTGCTTTTCTCTGAAGTCACCAGCCAACCAGAACCCAGCTGATTCTCAAGATCGGCGTCAACGAGACACTGGATGTCGAGCTTGTAACGGATGGGGCCAGTCCTTCTGCCCAGAACCACCGCAGTAAGGCCGCGACTAATAGGAACACCCCCCCTCAAACCCAACATAGGTTGTGTGTCTCGGGTCCGTTCAGCTGGTCCTCGCATCCACAACCATATTCAGACAACCCCAATTATCTAACTCTCCATTACTCGTGAGATTACTGAGATTCAAATCTAGGATTTTGACGTCGTGTAAGTGATTAAACCGTGTCGATAACCTCACTGATAAGATATATGATAATAAATGCCGTTCGTATGATCTTCATTGGCACGTAAAAGCTCACTCATGACAATAGCTCAATGGCTTTCAACTGACTTGACCGGAAGTCTCCACGTGGAGAAATGAATCACACATTCACTGACTCCATCATCATCAATAGCCATATATGTCTTTTATATCTATCAAGCGAACCCCTCAGGCCACGCGATTCGCACGGGAAAAGCACTCGCCCGTTCGGTCTCGAGTTCTTCCATAAAACTCATATCACTGGGCCCTTTATTAACTACCGTACATATGCAGCTCTCGGTCGGAGAGAGGGTCCTCGGCTTGACTGTTACAGACGAATCCACGCAATTCCGGGGGCAGATATAGTTTTATGGTCCAAGCTTTTCGGTGCCATTGCTCTCGTTCTGGGGATCAAATGAGGTGAGGTGAGGTAACTGTAGTCCCCTGGGGTGGTGTTCTCCATGAAATCGTAAAACCATTCTAGGTCTCGTGAGTCGATATCTCCTCACCTAGTGCATCTCACACAAAAGTTGTTAATGACAAGCCAGCAGAAGGAGTTTGCATAAGCTTTGAAGATAGCTCAAACAGCACACTACGGAAAACCTAAGACAAGGGCTTCGATCTCAGATTTGAGATGTAAATACATCAGCTAGGACGATCCATCATTACTGTCACCACTGTGTAGCTTCAGGATAGTTATTTGGTATCTCATCCAGCTCATTGGAGGTTTCGACCATCCATCTGAAAGTTTCAGTTACTGGACCCCCTCCTCCCTAGCTGGCACTTTGATAAGCAGGTTCTGGATGCCATCCAATTCGCTCCGACCCGGGCAGTCTCATTGCTTGATTATTTGACGGAATGTTAATAAAGATAACGCTATGTACATATGTAACAGAAGACCAGGAAGGATAAAAAACAAGATGGTAAACGCATTTCGAAAAAGTCTCCTGAAGCCTGCAAGTCCCAGTCGATTTGGCCGGCTAAATGCAATCCCTGAAGAATAGACCGAGATATCTACGGGTGGCGGATCCGGTGAAGACCCGGAGAAAAGCCAGTTTTAAGGAACCTACCTACTAACCTAAGTTGTTAGTAGAAGCCAAGGGCCAAGACAAACCTAGGCACCAAATGAGAGCGCTCAAACCCAAGCCTCAAAAAGAAAAAAAGAAAAAGAGAGAGGGAGTTCCATAGGAGGAGAACAATCTTACCAGGGGTAATTTAGTAAGCTGCCATCTCTGTTTCTCAACAGATCTGTTAGGCCAAGCAATAAGGTATTTCCCGTGCTGCTGGCCAGTTGATGGGATTGCGAGTAGCTTTTAGCTAAAACTCAAAAACAGCCAAAACAGGGCGCTGTAACGTTGTTTTGATAGACCTTCGGGAACAATCAACGGGAAAGCCATAACTATACGCAACACATCTGAACCGCAATGAACCACACAGGAGGCACATGTCCCAGACGCTGCATGGCATGGAACGGATGGGAAGATAGAGTAGGGCCGGCCAATTGGGCCGAGTCGGGAATTTCATTGACGATCATGGGGGATCAGGCAAGTAATCTCACACTGTGCGTCACTCGCAAAAGTGAGGATAAGCACTCGTAGAAGCACCTCCCGCATACCGTGCACTAACTGTCCACTGCTGTGCACCGGCGTTTTTCTGGAGCGTTGCGGTGGAGGGCAGATGCATCAACAACGTCAGCTGGTCGCTAAAAGTACCTGAGGACCACAGGCAATCCAGGGCCAGAGGAATGCTAATGCTAATGGAAACTGCTGTTGTTTAGGTTGTGGGGAGATTTGCGCAAGGCAGTGGAGAGCTTTCCACGGGCTCCATCGTCATTCTGGGTCTGGGGCTTTTCTTCTCTGCTGCCCAGATTTCCTCTCCAGGAAGTCTAAAGCACCGGGGAGATTCGCTCACGCGGTTTCTCCAGACTGGAGTACACCCACGCGCTATGGTAAAAAAAGGGGCCCCAATGTGCCCCCACAGCTGCCATGGAGTGTCCTCTCCACAGTTTGGCCGGCCAAACGCCGCTTGAGGCGAACCAAACGCTTGCTTTTTTGGCACCTTGGGCGGCCATGAGGTGCGCTAGATGTCACAATTGTCACTGTGATGTGCTGTATTGACCTAAACTGATGAGCCGTCAATCAAAAGAACACCCCACCATATTAAACGGTCGGTCCGTTCCCCCTCACCAGTCAATTACATTTTCAATGGGATGGTCTCGTGCTGGCCAAATTCTTCATTTCGTTCTATGGTGTCTTTGGGGGTGATAAGATCTTCAATTCAATTCCATTTTGGCTCTTTTTTTTCATATCAGTCCAGCCCATCGGTACACTCTTGGTGATATGGGATGTACCTTATCAGTCAATCATCTAAACCTTCCCAAACCAATCTAGGAGAACCCACGTAATACCCAGAACTGGAAGTATCCAGATATTTGGGACATTCACACTAAACCCAGCTTTTCTTTTTGAATAGTCGCCTGGACATGAGAAAACATAGTGCAGTTCTTAACACGAACCACTAGGTCTTTGGCTTGAAAGCTTCGTTTTCATCTAGTAAACATCTATCATATGCAGTGGTCACTTTTGCCATTCATCCCAATTCAAGATCGCACCTGTCTCTACAGTGAGAATCATTATCGTCCCGTCTGTGGAGTCACGGCCCATTTAAATTCACACCTCTTGCTGCGAAAGGGAAAAATAAAACGCTCCACCTCACACCCCCTCCACGTCGTTCCATTCTCCCCCGGATTTGTACCGTATGTACCCAAGTATCCTCGTACCTGGAAGTCCCCTTCCTTCTACAGCCCAGCTAGTAGTCATCACTACGCTCTCTCGCTCTTTCCTTGTACCATTTACCCTTCCCACTTTCCCGTTTATCCCGCGCAGTTCATTCTGTCCAAACCAACACGAAACACCACAAACTCGCCTTTCACGATATCGATCGACTGCTTGCCCTTCGTTTTTCTTATTATCAGACTTTTCTTTTGACGTCTGGCCATCGAACTCGATTTACCTGTGCCCCCGGATCTCCGGTCCGTAGTTTTCGGCGTTCCCGATCCCTCCGTCTCGCCAAATCGCTCTTACTCTCGCCATGTCGAGTATATTCTCATTCAGTGCGCAATAGAGACGGACGTCTGTAGCCATTTAGGCCTGCTCAGCAAAGGCGGAACCGTCCTTTCTAACACGTCGCGGGCCTCGCGGCCTCTCGTCGATAGCGTAGAACGTCGAACGTCGAACGTCACTCGTTTTCTCTTCGACGCCCATCACAATGGCTCATCATCAAGCGCGGACGGTGGCTATGGATCCGCCACATATCACTGAATTTGCTTCCGAGCGTTACTTCGAAAAGTTAAGCCAGCTCAATGCACACCAACATCAGCACCAACATCCTCCGACTCGAGACAATCTTGATGCCTCCACGTCGCCCTCGAGATTTATTCTTCCTCTACGAGAAACGAAAACCGCCGATGTTGAACCTTTAAGGCCTCTTGACCAGAAGCGTGATAAGTCAAGGTTTTTCGGCCTTCGCTCAAAGGTTTCGATCCTCCACTCTAAATCGAACGTATCGTCTGGTCATGCGCCTCGAGTTTCTGTTGAGACGCCGCAAAAAAGGTAATGCTCTTTTGGCATAGTATTCATTCTTTCACTTTGCTGACCAGTGAGATTAGTGCTAGCTTTGATCAGCTCTTCCTAGGACTTCCCAACGAATTACAGATTCAAATCATTTCTGCCCTCCCACTAACCGACGTCTTGAACCTCCGACTTGCCTCCAAATCGTGGCATGCTCTCGTCACTTTCAACGAAAACACTATCGCTCGATATCATCTTGAACATCATATTCCCGCTTACGCCTCCCGCCTCTACCCCATCACAGACCCGAGCGAGATCAACTTCCAACATCTATGCGGTATATGGCATCGATTACACGTCGCTGCCAAGCTAGCCTTTCTGATGTGTGAATGGATCACAAAAGATATCTTTCTTCGCCAAACTGAAGCTCAACGACTTGCATTTGCACCTCAGAACGAGCGCATGCGACGACGCCTAATACCTCTTCTATTTACCATATTTCACTTCTTCGAGACGTACAGGAAATTGTACCTAAAGCGTATGGATGAGAACGGAGGAAAAGGATTGAGACGGGAACCTTATACTTTGAACCCCATTGAAGCCGAAATCATGAGCATGTACGACGACCAAACCTTATTAAGGGTTCACGAAGTCTTTCCCCTTGTAATATCATCCTTCTGTCGGAGACTCCGACCACCGACATATGTTGGTAGAGTCGAGCGATCACTTCGTGGCTATATTCGAGAGAAACCGTCCGACGATATGCATGTTGCCATTTTGTGCATTGGTGGACTCCGACAAGTCGAAAGGTTATGGGAAATCAAGGGCTACAACAGCAGGCGTGGTGCTGTCGACACATGGTTTAATGCTCTCACGAAAGAGGCGCCACCTACTGAACAGTCAACTTCGAAACCGAAACGAGGTCTTTTTGGACGCAAAAAATCCACTAGTGAAGCTCGATCGTCTGCTACTGGATTGAACAAGGTCCGGAGTTCTGGCTCAATAGATGGGAATATGGATTGGGAGACCAATCTTGTCTTCAATACGAGTTTATCTGCTGGGGCTCCCATGTCACCTCTGACCTTGCAACAGGCTCAGGCATTACTCAGCGACCTTCCCGTACTGCAACAAATATGGCTCACAACAGCCGAAGCCTTGATTCTTCAGCGTCGGGTTGTCGAGCGTCCACAGGATATCAAACGCAACCAACAAGTCATGCTGGATTTGATCAGTGAAGATGGACTGGTAGAAGAGGACGAATGGTGGTACGGCCGCAGCATTCCCGATTCTGTGCGGCCTCCCGTCGGTGTCACTGATGACGATACGGATTAAACGGCATCGGTTTCACTATATCTTAAGCATTCTTCGTTTGTTATGTTGCTGTTGGCGAGCGTGTTGAGAAGTTATACTATTACTTCTGCTTGTCGTTTTACCTAGGTACATGCATGTGTCAAAGGAACAGGGTTTTGAGCATTTAAACGGCGTTTTTTTATTGGTTGCGGAGAAAAGGGCTACTGCGTTGCCGAAGGTGGTACTGGATGGGAGCACTGGCTATACATATTGATACCGATTGTCTACGACATTATATTTTCTTTTATACTTCACTACTTTGTTCTCAACCTGAGACCGAAGCCATGTGTCTCGAAGCCTCAAATGGCTCTCGTTTCTCAACATAATGAAATGGACTTCCCCATTCCTCTGTGCACTGGCCTCAGAGCGTCAAGTTGGCGCGGCTTTTTATTCATTTAGATAGCAGTGTATTTATCATCCAAGAAGCCTCTACTTTGATAGGAGGCGGGAAGGTTATTACTGAACATGCCAGAAAGAGAAACGATACGATGATCTAAGCATCAGACAAACCACCAACCTGTTTAGCTCGGTTTTGCTTTCCGGGTGATCTTGCCTATAAGTGGTATACAAATCCACGAACACAAACACAAATATAACGACTTAGCCAAACCGGAAACACAGCCTTTCCTCCAATGATGCCTCCGGTACTTCAAGATTTAGTTTTCTTTGCTTAGTATCCACACAAGTGATACTCACCTTACGTTCGCCCTCCTGTGCAAACATTTCGATGGCCGTGTCATGATGTGTAGGACGTGTATACTTGAGCCGTCCTGCCGCCCAAGAGTAGAAGAGGTCCAACCACATGGAATTAGTCGACTTGCGCCCTCTGCTCCTTGATATCTTTTGATATTCTCACACTCTCTTCATAGTGTAAAATACTTGGCTACGTATGTAAATTTCGACAAGTGTATTGCCAAAGCATGGATCGCTTCTGAGTTGATTCGCTGTGCCAGAGTTGCTGTGATAGTACGTTTGGACCTAGCTCTACCTCTCAAAGCTGGGAACTCAAGACATGTCTGCTACAGGTGCTGATGCAGTTTTAGGAGGCCTAGAGGGTGTTTCGTCCATACTTGCAATTTGTGCTGGCTTTTCCAAGCGGTGACGCGACTCAAAATGGTCCATGCTTGCCAAGGGTGTTGTCGCAGTTGAACGACGGAGGCCTTGTTGCCTGTGTTGAGAAACTAGGGGTCGGCTGTCAAGCCTTTGACCTTGCTGATGAGAGCTTGAGCTTGCTGTCAGGGGAAAGCCTGTAGCGGAATGGCCTAATTGATCCGACAACTGTCGTTACTGTCGTTGGTACAGATCCACTACGGTTACTTTTGGGAGAACATCCTCCGGAGCCACGAGGTCACAGCTACGTGACTGAGTATGCGTTGGAGAAGATAGACTCGTTGGTCGGATCGACTGTTCGAATCTCAAATCCTGTGGCGAATGATGCTTGCGTTGAACGTGGACGCCTTGATCTGCTTGGGTCTGATAAAACTCATCAAATTGTTTGAGCCCTTGATCTTGCTGGGACAAATGAGATAGGCTGTGTGACACTTGCTGGCTCAAACTATCCTCGATCCCGATTGCCTGTACCCCTGAGGCGAATGTGCCCGATATAGAAGATGAATGTCCGGTAGTGGCACTTGAACGAAAACCTAAAGCCTCTGGATCGGCTGATTGCGAATATCTTTCGCTAGTGCCAAGGTGTCCTGGATTTGTCTCCTGAGACACACGAAGACGCTTGACTTGTTTCTCGTGAGGTGGATTGGTAACTAATTTCGCGGCCCCGGGGGATATTTGAGGGATGTAGATCACTTGAGTGTTGGTACAAGGACCCTGTTGTGAATTCTTTCTCTTTTTTGAAGAAACTAGGTCAGCGTCCTGGCGGTGTCTGGGTGGCCCCTGAGGTCCCTGTATGATAACAGAGCTGCCAGCGGCTGTTCGTGTTCTGTTCTCTTCCGTGCAACCAGGCGAGCCAGTTGCGCCACCTTGCATTGGGTTGGCCGTTTCTTCAGCAGGATCGGGCAACTCTGGGAGAGAAAAGGTGTTTCGAAGAGCACTGGCTGTCTCAGTTATATAGCTTGAACCGGGCGTGGATATTAGGGAGTTATACATGTTTTCCCTCGTGGTTGGCTCATGAGATTGAGGCCTTGACTCCCCAAGATGAGAGTCTGGCGAGTTGAATGAGGAAGAAGCACGCTTGGCAGGCAGTAGCCTGGGCTTGTTCCTTGATCCTTTAGGCCGACCACGAGGCCTGCCTGTACTCTTCGTGCGTCTTGACGCTGTAACCGAAGAATTTGGCACGACAAGTGTAGATTCGCTAGTTGACTCGGCGGGTGTCATCGATGGGCCTGAGATGCTTCTTTGGTCTTCCCCTGAAACATTTATCAATCTCGGGGTAACTGAGGGAGCGGCTGCTATAGAAATCTGGCACTTCCTAACATGGGGAAGTAGCTTACTCGAGCTTTGGTTTTTAGAAGCGTATGGTAGAGGCATATCTAAGCGTGGATTATTTGCAACAGACTCTGGTGGTGCATTCGAGCATTCGACAAGTTTCGAACGCTGCGTACCATCCGTTTCATTGGGCCTCATAGCCAGGGGAACGAAGGCAGTACGCTTAAGATGTAAATCTGCGTCTACTATCCTTTTCGTACTCCCCTTTGGTCTACCTCGTGGTCTCCCTGTTGAGGGTTTCGATGGCCTTTTGGTAGCGCTGTTTTCAGCAAAGTTTGGAGGGAAGATTTCCGAAATCCACGCAATGAGGAGATCGCCAGAGCTTTTCTTCGAGCCACTCTCAGAGGACTCCCCATCAGGAGATGGGAGCCGCCGAGTGACACCGCCCAAACGAGTAAGGGCACTGCAAAGCGTTTCTACGACTGTGCTTGGGTGCAGCTTTCGTAAGAGTTCAAGAAGTCGATATTGCTCTGCTCTGACCTCTTCCGGTTGAAGAGTTGTTGTCAACAGCTTCGTAATGGTAGGCTGTTCTCTGTTAGCCTCCTGTCTGGGATCTACTGGCGTGGCAATTTCGTTCGACGGGTTCATGCTGACGTCCCGTGCCGAGTTCGCATCTACAAATGGAGCGTTCTCTTGTTCATGGTTGAACCCGGGTGCGACGTCTCCCTTAGTTGATTCTGCTAGAATTTCTGTTTCAAAGTTTTCCATACTACTTGCTTCCGTCAATGGATTCTCTACAAGTCTTGTGCTGGCTTGTGCAAGTCCCCTCTCTGCTCGCCGCTCTTCATATGGCATAACAGTTCCGAGGGGTGGAGACTGAGCAACTGGCCCGTGAATGCCTTCAGTTACGGAAGGGTGATTTGAGAGAGCGTGTGGAGGATTCCGAGCAGCCGCTGTATGTGGTGGCCGCGGCCTCCTTGGATAGCGATAACCTTGAGCACTTGCAAGTTTGGCAGCAGCAGCAGTTCGTTCACTTGTAAGCTTGGCCGCAAGGTCGCGCTCCGTTATTTGCGGCTTCTGTATGTGCATATGCATAACACTGAAATTACCTTGCTTCATGTTCGTCCTGCCCTTAAGCTTGCTTGGCACCGCGGTCCTGATACGACCATCGCGATAAGGGTTGAGGCTAGCAGCCAGCACTTTATCCTCTTGCGGTGGACCAGGGCTAGATGAAACAGTTGTTCCATGATCTGGAGCATGGAATGGCTTCATCTGGAGATCAAATAAGGCATTGCCTACTTGCCAATCTAACCTGGTGGCTCTTCGTCCAGGTGTCATGGCGTCTGTCGACGCTGTACTGGACGAGGCACCTGGGCTTGGACCTAAGGCATGAGCAGTGTCGGGAGCGAGGGTAGTCGAATCGAGCACAATGGCTTGTCGAGGCGCTGTGCATTGCCTGTGAGCCTATGCATTCACTACATCCGACGAATTGTTTCAAACAACACGTACGTCCTTCTGAGACCATGACGTCTGGATGAGGCTGGGTCATAATAAGCTATTGACCTCAGTAGCGATCTTACAGTGAACTTTTCGGGCAAAAGTCATCTGTGCAGGGCTCATGCGACTTCGATGATGCGCAAGTCGATGGTTCTTATATCGAGGTTTGTGGTGCTGTCGCAGCTCGAATTCCGTGTTAGTGACTGGATTCACTTGCCCTGGTTTGCGTTGTGCTTGTAGGTAGTCTACAACCCCGTGATCAAAGGTCGTCCAGTAGGTAGTGGGGTCCTCCATGGATAACAGATGCGGCGGCAGTTACACTCAATAATTCGCGACCAGATTGTCGTCGTCTTAAGCTAGACCCAGGTACTCTTTAGTGCGATATACGCTGGGTGCTGTTGATAGTGACCTTCGGGTCTTATACATAAGTGATGCAATGTATTAACTACGTACCTAGGTAATGATCGTGAAGGTAGACATTACCTAGTATTAAGTTAGTACTATGTACCTTAGTACCTAGTAGTAAGGTAAGGTAGTGTGTCAGAGACATACTTTCGATGGGGGTATGAGGATATCGAGGCGGGCAGCCACAGGCAGTCGTCATACCTAACCTCACCAGCCACAGATCCACAACTGACTCCCAAAGGGCAACTGCTACGGAGTAAGATGTTCATGGAAGCTCACACTGCCTTGTATTAGGTAGTGTAGTGCTAGCAACTCCAGCAACACTCTCGCCCTATAAACGCAACGTAACGCGATACGACTCAACCTCGCCCTAACAGCAAGCCTTCAACGGAGAGCCATTTATTGATCGATGAACCCGTGAGCTTGACTCGCGATCAAAGCCATAGCTTTCACCCCGTGGAGCTGCCCGCGTTCTTTGCTGGTGTCACACTCATCAAACCGACAGCCTATCTTGCAGATATTCTCGACATAATTCATACATCGAACATCTTGTAGCTCGAGCTTGCTATAATGTCGACGAAATACGCATTCCTATCTTTGCCCCAGGGCGTTTTTGACTCGAGCGATCGCGATGATGCCATATCATCATTGCGCGGGACCATCTCTTCCGACAATGGGTCCGTTCTGCCTTTCAACATCCCCGATTTCAAGATCGGCACTCTGGATGCCCTGGTGCAACAGGCAGATGAGCTTACCAAGCTCGAGGCGTCATGCCAGGCTGTTGTGTCCAAGGTCGCCGATTCTCTGAAGAATGTGCTTGAGGGTGACGAAGATCGTATCGCCCAGTATAAGATGGTCAACGACAGTCAGTCGCGTACACTTGTTTTGAGACCGGATAGTCGCTAATCACTCACATCAGAACCCACTGATCAATACGTGAGCACCTTCAGCTGGAACAAAATCCGATATCGAGCCGACAAGTCCCTTGCAGAGCTTATTAGCACTTTGCAAAAGGCGCGTTCATCCACCAACCGCAGTCCTAAGCTCCAACTAACATGCCATCAGGAATTAGCTAACGTTGACACCGACGTTAAGACAAAGTTCAATCAGTATAACTCTGTCAGGACAAATCTTGCGGCTCTGCAGCGCCGCCAAACGTGAGTATTTCCCGCTGATCAAAATACCATCCTCAGATCATTGACAGTCTCAATCAGCGGCAACCTTTCTACCAAGTCCTTGACCCCCATTGTCGACCCGAAACTTCTTGTGCAGGATTCTGAGTACATTGAGACACACCTCATTGTTGTTCCTGGCAATGCAAAGAAGGATTTCATTAAGGAGTATGAGACAATATCACCCATGGTTGTGCCTCGCTCGGCTATCGAGGTGGCCAAGGACGACGAGTTTGTTCTCTTTGCTGTGGCGACATTTAAGAAGCATAGCGCCGAATTCCTCGCTAAGTGCCGAGAACAGAAGTGGACGCCCCGTCAGTACAAGTACGTTGAAGGCGGTCGACAAGAAGAGCAAAGGGAGCTCGATCGAGTCACCAATGAAGAGCGCAAGGTTTGCGGCGAGGCTCTGCGTATGGGACGCACGGGATGGAGTGAAAGTGTCATGATCTGGATACATGTTATGACATTAAGGGTCTTTGTTGAGGCAGTTCTTCGTTATGGTCTGCCTCTAGATTACGTATCGGTCCTAGTCAAGGTGAGCCTATCGCATGCGTCCAAATTCACATCACTGATCACATTCACAGACTACATCCAAGCTGGCGCCCAAGGTCAAGGCTGCTCTGGACTCAAACTACTCGTTCCTTGGCGGTAATGCCTTTGGACGGGACAAGCGAGGCAAGATTACCAAGGACGACGCTGCGCTGAGCTCGGAGATGGCAGCCGCTGGTTTCCAGACTGGCGAGGGACATGAATACACGGCATACGTATATTACGAGATCGAGTTTCCTTAGCGATTGTTGCTGCTGAAAGGTTGGCGAAAGGAAGACAAGCCGAGAAAGAAGAACGATAGAACAAGTCGCCTGCATGCAAGAAACGCCTATATTCTACTCTATCATTATGCCTCTGAGTGACGACGGCCGGTGTCACATGGCAGTAATATCCGATCTATCTCTTTTAAGTGCGAAACACAATCTTGAATTTTGTGCCTATTTCTTGTTGAGATAGCCCTTCTCATTGAGCCACTGAACAATCTGAGCAACACACTCCTCGACTGAGTTCTCGTGAGTCTTGATAGTGATCTCGGCGTTCTCAGGCTCCTCGTACGGAGCGGAAATGCCGGTGAAATCCTTGATCTCACCAGCGCGAGCCTTCTTGTAAAGACCCTTGGGATCACGCTGCTCGGCAACTTCGAGGGGCACATCAACGTAGACTTCGACGAAGGGGATTGGCTCTTCGCCACCCTGTGTGGCCTGCTCGTGTAGATCACGGGCGACCTTGCGATCTGCTCGGTAGGGAGAGATAAAAGAGGTAATGGCGATGGTCGACGAGTCAGCGAAGAGCTTGGCGACTTCGGAGATACGGCGGATGTTCTCGTTTCGATCAGCCTCGGAGAAGCCAAGGTCCTTGTTCAGACCGAAGCGGACATTGTCGCCGTCGAGGCGATAGGCAGCGACGCCGAGGTGAAGGAGATGCTGCTCAAGCGCAGTGGCGACAGTGGACTTGCCAGAAGCAGAGAGACCGGTCAGCCAGATGGTGAGACCGCGCTGGCCACGCGTCTCGTTACGCTCCTTGCGCGATAAGGAAGGGTGCCAGGTGATGTTGCTGTGAAGCGCGTCATTAGTTAGCGATACGATACCTGTGGTGTTGAGGTGGGATGGAGGTGTAGCGAAGTATGGATGGCGGGGTAATGGATTTGGAGACTTGGAGAGAAGATTCAGAAGCCATGTAGGCACAGTGAGGGCAAGTAGTATACGAGATGAGCGGTTTGTTTTTGACTTACGTAGCCATTGTGCAAGCAAGATATGTTGAGATGGGTACTAGACAGTGAAGAAAGGAAGGGGGAAAAAGAGCATTCAATGGGTGGAGGGTGAGAATGACAGTCAAGTTAGGTAGAGTACCAATCGACTTGAACCTAAGTACTAACCTAATAATAGTGATTTCTGACGCCAATTGCGACCTCACGACCTAAATGATAAAAATTTTATACCATCTTTCTAGCTATACGCCTACATGATTCGCTATAGGAGCTTCCCTCAGTGATGTAGTGATTGCCCGCAACTTGCCCTCACGATGTCGTGATCGGGTCATCGGGCGGCAGAAGCCACTGCTACAGACTCCCCGGAGATCCACCTTTATAAGACTACAATCAGCCTATGAGAACTCATATTGAGGATGGCGACATCAGAGGCCTTTTCCCGTCCCATACAAGCCCTTTCGTTAAGTGGCCGGCGCGGACCCAGCGACTCCACGGCGTCTGCCCGATGCGCCGGAAGTCGGCCCCGCAAGAAGGGGAAAAGAGAAGGAAAAAAGAACCCAAACTTTCAACGGAAGATGTTATGTTACTTCTATGTATAATACATGGCAGAGAAGTCGATAGGCCGCGTTCTATCGAGTTTCCTAAAGGAAACGCTCTATGTGTAATTAGAATGTGCTCTTGTTAAATGCTCTGTCGTCCATCATTTCACCTGCTGACTGTGAGGTTCCTCATTCGTCTACCACAACACAACCCGTATAAAATGCACCTGTCACTCCCGTCGCTCGCTCAAAGAAAAGTTGTCATAACACGTGTCATCTAGTCGTTTAACCGATTTTGGGCATCATCTATAAGGCGCATTAGAACGTCACCAGAATATCTGTATCGCACGATGTATGACTTACCGCAGCATACTTGGGCGAGATGAATAGTGCTTGCGCTTCGGCCACTATCGTCGGCTTCTCGCCGGGCTCGGCCAGTAATTCAATATGGCCCCTAACCCAGGCCTTGCGGCCTTCCACCTTGTATGTCTCAGCTCGAAGAACCAGAAAGCTTCCCGCCGGTGTGGGTTTGCGATAGTCTACATTGAGGTTTGCTGTAACTGCAATGTTATGGGGCAGCGCACCGAAGGAGCAACGTCCAAGACCCTCATCCAGCATAGTCGCCAGAAAACCACCATGTACAATGCCAGGGTGGCCGCACAGGTCGTCACCGACATATGCTATAGACACAAGCTGTTTGCCCTTGGGCGCCATCCAGGCGTATGGCGGTACTGGCATTTTCCCCTCGCCGATGAGCGCTCCTCCTGTCAGGCTCCGACTTCGGTACGAGCCGGGCATTTTCATGTGCGGCCGCGATTCGGTGAGTTCGGGGTTGGCGCGGAGCTCTGCAACGAGCGGGTGCTTGTTGATCGTCTCTTCCACCATCTTCGCCTCTTCGTGGTTTGCGACGAATCGCCGCAGGCTCTCTTCGTCCGAGTGAAAGCCCATGCCGTTCGAATGCATCGTGTACCATGTTCCAAAACCGCCGGCTGTACTTGCGCCTACGCCAGCGAGCAACATACCTGCTGCTCTCTTGAAAGCACCACCAGCGGCTGCTGTGGCCGCTATAAGTTAGATTTGTCAGTATATCTTGCGGGTATAAGTGCTTTGAGGGGCGCAGACACACCTCCAGTCGCATAACTGCGGGACTGCGTAGGACGAGCAAACTGTTTGCAAGCTTGCGCTGCAAGACGTCCATTGTGACCGACTTGTTTAGAAAACATAGCGGATTTGTTGTTCTAGAGAGTGAACTCTGTTAACGAAACAAAGGCGAAATTAAAGACAAAAAACCCATCAAGATAATTAAAAAAAAATAGAGCTTGGGAAATGCGCCGCCTCGGCTTTTGATTTAGATTTAAGGTTGTCTTCATTATCGGCGTTTCCGCTTTGCCTCGGATAGGAGGGTTGGCCTCGGCGTTTATGCACTTAAACGGTAGCTAACGTTGTTCCCGGGTACCCACCTAACGTGGAACAGTGGAACAGTGGAAAGCTGTTGTGAGATAGCTGTTAGTCTGCTGAAATGCGCCAAGTTGGCACGACCCTGATAATCATGGGAAGATGCCCAACTGCCAGCCATTTGCTGGGACCCCTAGCACCTGTGACGTGAGTCTCATCCAACCAGAATAGCCCGACGAGCTTGTGAGACATGATTTGTAGGAGACGATCAAAGGCCGCTGACGACATGCGTGCTTGCTTGTGCGTTTTATTCCTTGTACATGTATCCGTAACCTGGCCAGATACTCTTCTCTTGATACCTACCGTAGCCAGTATTTAATGTCTGTGCATTTCCGTTTACCGTTGTGATCGAGCTCCTCACTCACTATCCATTTCCAAATCACTTAGAACTCACGACGCACCTTGCTTACAATGGTGAGACTGCCGGGCTTGGTTGGCAAACTTGATATTAACTCTTTGACCCAGGCGACCGCTGAAACTGTCGATCTGGGCCCTGTTCACCCTCCCAAGGAGGACTCCATTACAGCCTTTGAACAGATCCTCCCTGAGCTCAAGAAGACTCTTGTTCATCTCCGTCACGACTACAATAGTGAGTCGATATGAGCCTACCTCTGATTGAATCTAAAGCTAACGCCCCCCTTCTTAGAGCACGAACCAGAGTACTTTGCAGCAGCTGTAAGTTCAATCGAATATTTCTCGGTTTACCGTGGCTTAGAATATATAGGAACACCTCTCGGACCAAGACCTTGTCGGTTTCAGCGCTGACGACTTCGAAGCTGTTCGTGTCGCTACATCAGCCTACGGTATTCATTTGTTCGGCAAGCTTCGCATTCCCGCTTTGCCAGACCCTTCAGGCCCATCTTATATTCACTTCCGTGTCTTCATTGGCGGTGGTGATGAGCCTCCCAAGCTCCATAGCATTCACACCGAGGAGCGCGAGGATTCAAGTGGCGGAAAGACCTACAGAGCAATTTTCAACAAGAATGACGAGCTTGAGTGGTTTGATACCTGATTGAGATAAACAACGAGAGATGTATTTTATGTGGCATGTTGTCTCACATGCCTGTGTGCGTATTTTCATATGTGCCTTTTTGACTCCTGCACCAACATGTGTATTGTACCGCCAAAATATTAAAACATGGGTTCAGCTTCATCATGTCCTCACAACTGACAAGCTCTCCTACATATCCTCCTCTCCGGCCAAGAGCTCGGCATAATCGTCCACCGAGGCGAACATGGGAAGATCCTTGAGCTTTCTGCGTTTCGACTTCGGCTTCTCGCTTGCTGCCTCTTTGACCTCGAATCCCTCCTCATCCTCGCTTATCAAAGCACCACCCATCTCCTCATCGGACCCCTCGATATCCACACTCATGTCGTCGTCGTCATCCTCGCCCAGCTCGCCATCCAAGGACAATGCTTGCAAGTCATCGTCCGATGCCATTTCTGAGTCGTCGAGGTCGAAGCCCACATCAGAGCCGTCGTCATCAGGGTCAACGCCAGGTTGTGTAGACACCAGTGCCTTCCAAACTTCGTCTTCTTGCTCGTCGTCAGATTCAACGTTTCCTGCAGCATTCTTCTTAGTCTCCTTGCCCTCCTTGTCAACCTGCTGGAAGTACTGGTGGAAGAAGATGTCCTCCGCAGGAACGTCTTCCACTTTCTTCTTCCAGAATGCGGATGAGTTGACAGACGGCACGGCACCTCCAGCTCCACGGCTGCCGAGCCAGATGTCGTCAACGTCCTTGGTAGCCCGTAGAGGCTGCATGATGGAAACGCCCTTGGCTGAGTCAGTGACCTTCGCGTTTCGGTAGACGAATTTGTCCAAGAAGCGAATGAGTGAATGACTATCAAGGTCCGGCTTCAATGACTTCTTATTGCGCTCCAATATCGACATCGCATAGACTGTAACCGACGGATGGTAGTGGCACTGGAGAGGAATCTGAAAATAGTCAGTATGGTGGCACTGAGTTGAGACAACAAACTGCAACATACCATCTCCCACAAGCAGCTACGGTTGGCGTTGCTGTACTCGGGATCTCTCTTCCGACCATCGTATCGTTGCTTCTCATTTGCGGGCTCATCGTCAAAGATAGACTCCTCAGGCTCTTCCAATAAAGTCGAAAGATCAGGGAAACTCTCACGTAGGTGCCCGACAAGATAGAGAAGTCCACATGTAAATGAGGGTTGATGAAGACCAGAAATCTGGAGCATACGCTTGGCAAAGGCCTTGACTCGGCGACTATCAACATCGTTTTTGAGCGCGCGCAGGAGAAGGTTCAAGTAAAGTGCCTGCTTTGAGGAGTTCACCAGTCGAGGATCAAGTAGGGACTCGTACAAGGTCCTGTAAAATCTGTCGTTTGCAAGACTTCTTGACGAAGATATTTGTTGGATCAAGAGAAGTGCCTGGATTCCAGTGTTGAAGTTGCCTGAATGAGCAATCTTGAAGAGTGTGTCTAGGTGAGATTCCATGCTTTTGTAGCGTCAGCGTTACGTGTACGACAAGATATTCTGAAAGAAACAGAAGCACACATACATAGCATCGTTGCCAACCATGAATGGAGCTGCGCGGTTGACTCCAGTCAAGATGGCAGATACAAGCTTATCAGCAGCCTCAGTCTCAGGCTCAGAAGCGGAGGGCTTTGCTGGCTTACCGCCTCGCGGCCTTTGAGGTCGTCGTCCAGTATTCCGTTTAACGTTACCTTTCTTATCGTCATCTTTGCCTGGCTTCGAGTCCGTTGGCGCAGTGATGCCTAGACTTCCAGTCTTCAAAATGATAGTGAAAAGGTCAAAGTAAATTCGCATCAGGGCCTCGGCTAAGGAAGGCTCCTTGTTGCTAAGTATTGTCTGGTTCAGGGTGTTGATGGCATAATACTTTGATCGGTGGTCCTGAGATGGATGCAGGAGGATATCCTGTTCGATGGTCCGGACAATGATAGGTTTCATTCCAGGATGTGAATTCTGCAGCTGGAGAATGAGGTACGACGCTCGAGAAGAGATTTTACGATCTCGGTCACCCAACTTGTTGACAAGCAATCTGAGGAGGTTGGATTCTTGCTCGGGCTTCTCCTTGAGGAGACCATAGACAAAATCGAGTGCTCGGGTACGTGAATACTCAATCTCGTCTGAGCACCAGGATTCGAGCAGTTGAATGAGTCGAAAGTAAGTCGCCTTAAGCCAATCCTCGTATATCCAAGCAATCAAGTGGGCGGGCGTGATCTTACCAGGCAACGCGTTTCCAGGGGCCCAAGGCTTTCCAGGATTTCGCTGCAAAGTACCAACAAGCCCTGGCTGATCGTGGAAAGCTCGGAGACGGCGGTCAGCAGGGAGCAATGTGCCGGGGCCAAGTAAATCAACCAGCGCGCCAATGGCACCAAGGGCCTGTCCTCGACTTTTCTTGGAGGCCAGGCTCATAAGAGCGTCAAAAGCCCTGATGTTGTGAACCGGAGACTCTTGAACGGCAAGAGTGAGAGCAGACACCTTATCGCTAAGTGTACCTGAAGTCATGATTGTTGACAAGAACTTGTGAGATGATTGAGCAAAGACGCTAGTTCTGTATTTTGTTGCGTCCTCCTCCAGAAGTGCCTGAGCGTGCTGTTTCAGAGCATCCAGAGCGGCTCTGGGCGGAGTTGGCTCATCAGTAGTCGGTGCAGGAAGTTTGCGTAGCTCAGAATCATGCCAGTCTGCTCGAGGCTCGAAGGCCTATCTTACTGTTAGCGGTCAGAAAACCCACCCTAGAAATCGTTCAACCTACCATATTGCTTTTCTTTTGGGTGGGTTCCTTGGGTGCCACGGCCTGTTCTTCTTCACTGTCGTCGTCATCAACCCCCTCAACTTCGTTATCTTCAGCATCGTCGTCGTCCTCTTCCGCTTCCTCTTGATCGCTGGCTTCGCTCATCTCAACTTCTGCAAATCCAAGTTGTTTGGAGAAAGCGGCCAGCTCATCCTTAAGGCTCTTGTCGACAGCTCTAGAATCCTTGGGGCCCTGAGTGTACTCTTCGTCGTCAGAATCAACATCTTGAATAAGCGCCAGGTCGCTCTCGTCGCCACCAAGAGCCTTGATCTCTTCTAATAGAGTCTTTTCGTCGATTTTCCCGCTCTTCTCACCAGGTGAGCCCTCGGAATTCCGCTGTCTCTTTTGGTGTTGTTCGCCGTTAGACTTGGTTGGAGGTTGCTTTCGTTTGCCAAGCTGTTTGTCGATTGTAGACGTCAGATTATCCAGTGCACTATTGTCGAAGTTTGGGCCCTTGGAAGAGCTGCGAGGGCCTTTGCCTTTCGGTTTCTTAGAAGGCTTCGCCATGTTGTCAAAGCCGATTTGCTGATTGAAACTCTCAGATGGAAACTCTCAAATAGAAATGGATCTCAAGAGACCTCCAACTTTTTTTTTTTTGGGCATGACATTTTTCCGAGTGCCCCACCTCCACCTTCCGGGCGTCTAGCGCGCCTACGGGCGCTAATGCAGGATGACTAACATGATAGCAATTAGACGGAGGGTCTTCCGATTGTTGAATTACTCAAAAGAGGACCTGGTTTCATACAAGTGGTATGTGTTGAAACCTCTTGTCGTCTCGGTTTTTAAAGTCATGATTGGAAAAAGAATTACTTGTTTAGGTGGTCCTCTTATCCAAGGGGGCCCATGGGGTATCCAGCTGCGCGCCTTGTCAGTCACAAGTCTAGCAAAAGCCGACTCGCAACGGTCTACCCTGTCGACAATATGGGTGCCAACTGGGGGTATAACTGCTAATGAAGATGAGTGTGGGTTAACTATGTTCCCATTGAATCTCTTATGAGCTAATCAAATTTCAGTTGGTCACGGAAAACTCGTTCGCGGTGGTTTCCTCCGCCAGGTCGGTCGCTTAGCCCGAGTGGCCAAATGATGACTTGGGTGTTAATGCATCAGCAGGCTCACTCTGGTATTTTTCAGCTTCTTCCTCTAGGTCTCCGTGTTCAGGACAAGATAGAAAAGTTGATTGATAAACATATGCACTCAGTTGGTCAGTACGATGCCAGCAACTTAGCACATGTCATTAAAACGTTATCCATAGGCGCATCAAGGTTATCTCTGTCAACTATTTCATCAGAAGAACTGTGGCGAAAGAGTGATCGTCTTGAATCTGTTGCACCGGAGGTAAGAGCCTGAAGTTTTGATGAAAGCGGTATAGGCTGACTCGTTCAGCTTTTTCGACTCAAAGATCGTAAAGATACTCCGCTGATATTGTCGCCCACGCATGAGGAGGAAATCACAGTACTTGTCGCCGGAATCGTCAATTCATACAAGGACCTCCCTATTCGACTTTACCAGATCAGTTCGCATTTCTATCTTCAACATTGATGCTAAACCTACTGACATTTCCCAGCCCGAAAATACCGCGATGAGCGTCGCCCTCGCCACGGTCTTCTGCGCTCACGGGAGTTCCTCATGAAGGATCTCTACACTTTCGACCTCACAACACTTGAGGCTGTGGAGACATATCGTCAGGTGTCTGCAGCATACCGCGCCTTCTTTGATGAGCTAAAACTCCCATATCTTGTGGCCGAGGCAAGCTCTGGTGATATGGGCGGTGACTTGAGCCATGAATATCACTTGCCAAGTTCTGTCGGAGAAGATACCGTGGTAAATTGTGACTCTTGTGGATATACTGCTAACGACGAAGTCGCTGCTCTCCGACCCCGCTCTCCGTCATATGATGGTTCGGAGAGCCCTCCGGCGTCTCACTTTCGTGTTTGGCGAGGTATCTCCAAGGACCGAAAAACCTTGATCAATGCTTGGTATCCTAGACCATCAGGGACCTCTGCAGAAAGTGGTCTCAATCTTCATGCCGTCAAATCAGCTGTCCCTGAGCTGGACGCCACCATTGAGGATCCTTTGCCACTTTGGGGAGTATCATTGGAGAGCGGAACGACAAAAGTCATCAATGTTGTTGATGGAAGACTTGAACCGGTGTTTGAAAGGGTTCGCGATCAGCTACCGTTGTTACCCAAAGATCTTCAACCATACCAAGTTGAGTATTCAACAATTGGCAGTACAGCCTCTGGTGGCGGGCTGAATTTGGCACGTATCACTGATGGCGATGCCTGCCCTCGATGTGAAGATGGCGCATTAAAAATCCATCGTGCTTTAGAGTGCGGCCACACATTCCAACTTGGAACTCGATATTCAGTACCACTCGATGCCTGTGTCACTTTACCACGCTCGGGGATTCCGGCGACAGCTGCGGAAGAGGGGCTGGTCCAAGGGAGTCGTATTCCTCTTCAAATGGGCTGTCATGGCGTTGGCGTTTCGAGAATCTTTGGTGCTGTTGCTGAGATTCTCGCGGACGAGCAAGGACTAAATTGGCCCCGAGCCATTGCGCCGTTTGAGGTTGCGATCATACCTACACCAGACTTAGCCGAAGACTCTCTGAGAATTTACGACTTGCTTGCCGCTGGCGACAATTCGCGTAATAGCTTGGATGTTGTTCTCGATGATCGCCAGCGATCATTTGTCTGGAAGATGAAAGATGCCGATATAGTAGGGTTTCCTGTCTTGGTTATCCTGGGAAGATCTTACAAAGAGAATGGAACTTGCGAGGTTCAATGCAGACGACTTTCGATCAAGGAAACTGTAAAGCTTGACGCTCTGCCAGCATTCATCTCAAACTTATTAGATCAGCTGTGAGGGATGGACTGGGTTAGTATCACATGACTATTGCATTCAAGACGAATGTACAATAAGCAAAGCACAGTTCCTAGCAACACAGATCGACAAAATCAAACACGTTCAGAGAGAAAATAATCAACTAAAATGTTGCATCTGGGGCCAACACAAGATAAGGCCACTAATCAAGTCAGTACCTACCTGCCTAAGGTCATAATGCAGCTACCTACCTAGTACTACCTTACTAACTTAGGTGCCTCACTAGCAAGGAGGTGTCCAGGCAAAATCAATGGCAGTGCTTATAGCACCCCCGTTAGTAGAATTCAACAACCCCACGTCATTTTATTACTCAAGCGAGACCCTGGAGGGGCATTCAAGGCACCTAGAAGTAATTCACGACAACTACTACCTGTCCGCCGCCACTTCAGTATACACCAAAAAGATGGCTGGAAGACAAGAAACCAGTAAATCTACTCAGCGATTCATTCTGAATATCCATTTGCTGACTCTACTTGCGCTATAGTCAACCTCGATACGCTAGAGCCTCAGCAGCTTGCCCAAGTCAAGAAGCAGCTTGATGAAGAGCTCGAGCACTTGACGACGTCGTTTGCACAACTCCATGCCGCCCAGAACAAGTTTAAAGACTGCCTCCAATGCGTTAAAAGCCGCGCTGCCGCTCCCGACGGTATATAATCCACCTGCTTAGCCGCTTCCTACTCAGCGCACAGTCCCGCTTTCTGAACAGCCTCTGACATGCTCCAGGTTCCAACTCTGTACTGGTTCCTCTCACCAACTCACTCTACGTTCGTGGTGAGCTCACAGACGCCGAAACTGTGTTGGTGGATGTAGGCACTGGATTCTTGGTTGAAAAGGTATTTGTGATCCTGGCAAGCTCGGAACTGTTCACTGATTGACCACCATGCAGAAACTCAAGTCGGCCGAAAAGTTCTACGAGAGCAAGGTTGAGGAGCTGGGAAATAACCTGAAAGATCTCGAGGTTATTGTCCAACGGAAGCAGACAAATGCACGAACGATTGAAGAAGGTATGCTTTTCTCGGGCACGCAGCCTCTACTAGGAACAAGGCTAACATGACCCCTAACAGTTTTGAGGCAAAAGATCATGGCTGGCCAAGGGCAAGCGGATCAACAGGCGTGAAAGGAATAATAGAAAGCTTCTCATTATTCTAGGTACGATTAAGACTAGCCAGACGCCAGTTTAGTAGGTATCATCCGGTGATCCCCCAAGCGGCACAGCATCGCATTTGCGTACCTGCTATGGCGAGGCAGTATCAGCATGCACTCTGTTCAGGAGGGCTTGGACCTCCATAATGGTCCGCAAGAAGCATCCGAGCCTCGACTGGAGATTATCGCCCTCCTCCCAAACATTCTCGAGCCCTTCCCCCCAGTCCTTTCGGCCACCACTGGAGTAGTTCAGACTTTCTTCCCAGTGGGGGGCGTATAATTCAACCCCCCAAGTAACATTTTGCTCTCCAATCGTGCGAGACCCCTTTAGAAGCTCGGTGATGTTGATCTTGAGGACATAGGGAGATTCTTTGAATGGAATTATTGCCCAAGATCTTGCCTGAATTTCAGTGAATTGCTCATCGGGGATCGAAAGTTTACTTATGTCGACATTTGGCAAAGGGAGAATGGTGCCCTCATCAGGGTTGAAGACAACCGATATTCTCTTTGCAAGATCCTTAAACTCTGTTGGAACGTCCACTTTGTCCCACGCATCCATTCGAATGTTCCAATCGTGTTCCCTGTAAGTGCAAGACATGAGTAAGTGGGATTTTTCCTTCGAATAATTGACGTACATGTCAGGAGCAGCAGTCGTCCAACTCCAACGTGCCCGGGTCTCTGGCCTCGTAGCGCGGACCATTGCTAGCTGCATAAGTTGAGGATTGTAGTCGGCCTCGGTCTTGATTTGCAGACCATTGGCCACTACAACCACTTCACAGCCTCGCCTCATGTCCTTCATGTTCTTGCAGATGCCTGCCTCTGGACGTGAGATATACTGCAAGAGTTGCTCCGCCTCGTGAGCGTCTTCAAGTCTATTGCGTGTCAGATATAGTGATCCGATTTGAGTATGTTGCCCCGCTCACCTGGTTACAATAGAGGCTCCTCCACGACTGGGATACATGTTCATAAGTGTGGTGAATTGGTCGAATGCGATCTCATCTTCAGTACCTTTCGGTCTCTTGGCAATGATAACGTGCCCGAAACTGACTCGCAAGCCCATGGTCTTGTTGAGTGCCATGAGGCCTTCTGCTGAAGATGCCAGGTCCGACGCCAGTCTTGGCAAATGTTCATCCATTGAAGAAGCGTTACTGATAGGATTCGGGTTTTTAGAAGAAAAGCATGGGCGTGCTCCAAGTTTCAACTGAATCATGTCAGTGATGGCTGCTTTAGTTGGCCTCTGTACGAGAAAGCGCGCGGGAGAACTGTCGTTAGATAAACGCATATCCCGAATTCTCCAGTTGACAGCTCCAAACGCCCGCTGAAGGCGATAGATGGAATCGCAGTGAATTCCAAGAATGTTTGGCACATCCCGCGTGATATAGACACGGTACTTTCTGCGTATATCGTCGAGTGCAGCTGGTTCATCCAATGCAACAGGTAGCAAGTGTTGCCCTGGAAGTACAAGGCTCGCCTTCAAGTCCCGTCAGATACTGTCACAGAAACTTATAAGCGAGTTCGAGAGAATCCTTACCTGTACTAGATATTTTCCCGGTGGTGGACGGCCAAGGTGTTCAGCATCCTCGGCTTGCCGGATCTTGTCTTCTCTACCTTGGTAAATGTTTTTCGCTGTCTTCAACCTCTCATTTTTCGTCGACGCAAACTTGAGCGCCTTTGAGAGAGAAGTTGGAGGCATGAGGTCACCTCTACCCGAAGCGACTCCTCCCCTGCCCTGATACATAAGGTCGCGCAGCACCTTTACTCGAGGGAGAAGGGAGAAGAATGAGCTGGTAACGAGCAGACAATATTTATCTTGATTCAAGATTCAGGCCGGAGCTATTGAAAGAACTGATAAGGACAAAGAATTCTTGTGTTGGGGAGAGTCGAAAAGGCGGAAGGGGGGAAAGGAGAAGAGGTGCATTGGAAATAGCCCAGTGAATCACTGCCGGGCGGCTGCCTAGGCAGGCAGGTCCTTCGGGATGAAGCAAACAATTTTATCCCACTTCCATTGTGAGTGCAAAGCTGATGCTGCCCACCTCATTGAAAAAGCATGATTGCTCTTTCCCGTTTGCTATCCTGCATACTGAATGGCACTTCAGCTTTCAGCTCACAGGTGTTTGCCCACCTTACGTCGTAGGTAGTGGTATATATATAGGATACATCAAGTCTAATTAATGTACCTTAGTTGAGGAGATGCATACCTGTGTGTACCTACCTTACATAGGTGCCTTAGTAGTCTAAAGCTTCTCTTTAATTCCATGAGGTGTCTGAGTTAGTATAGGGTATAGATAAGGCAACCAAGAATAGCCTTATATATATATCTATTAAAGTTAGAATAAATTATTTATCTAAAAAACACTATCAATTATTTATATAAAAGGGCAACTTTAAAGTTCTAGTAGTATTATCAAGGTGGAAGAGTAAGATATAGATTACATCTCTCTATGTATAGTAACTCTTTTCAAACTTAACTATTATGAGGTACGATTTTGTTGCCGTAAATGCACGACCATGTAAAGGCACAGTATCAATACGCATCATAGGGTGCCTGGTAGCTGTTGGAGATTCCCCACTAGTCCACTAAATGCTCAAGATAGGTACCTATCTATACTCCGTAGTAGACTACAGCACCCCGATATATGCATAGCCCATAGCAACCAAGTATTTGTTCCTTACTTTCAGTCGCGTCTCCTGGACGCGTGGACCGCCGTGGCAGCACATGGCACCGGATAACGACAAAATAATGGCCCCCATCAACTCAGAAGAAAATACAAAACGTCAACTATCCAAAATTCCCCAAGATCTATCTGACGATGAGCTTGCAGACGTAGAACCATCATGGCAATGGATCTACAACTCTACCCTAACGACCGAACGAGGTGATGGAACACAGAGCGACAGAAAACGAAGAAAAGTGACAGGCGACAGGATTGTCGGGGCAAGGATTGGCCAATTTGAATGCAGAATTGGAGACGCTGTCATGCTCAAAGCCGATGGCTCTAATGAGGCCTGGATCGCCTTGATCTGCGAATTTGTTGAAGACGATGGCGAGGGAGAGAAAGCAGCGAACTTTATGTGGTTTTCGAGTGAAAAGGAGATCAGAAGTAGGGATAAGAAACGATCCGATTACTACCCAGTCAGCCCTGAAACTTCTTGACGCTGTTGGATGTAGACTAATCAAAAGTTATAGAATGAACTCTATATCTCTCCATCATGGGATATCAACCCCCTGGCATCAATCAACGGCAAAGCTAAGATCATGTCTCAAGATGGTTTTCTTGCGAGATACCCCCAGGGTAAGGTTCCTCGAAATGATCCAGACTTCGGTAAGGTCTTTGTCTGTCGACGAGGCTGCAATACCCGCACTGCTACATACACAGACGAGTTTATATGGGAGGAAATATATGGGGGTGAGCATGATTTGTTTGCCTTGATGGATAGGGTCAAGACTGGGACAAAAGTCACACGACGTCGTCGAAAGGCCCGGAGTCCATCACCTTCTGATGATACTTATCATCCTGCTCAAATCCCCCAGACGCCAACCAAAACAGGACGGGGCTCAGTAGCTGCTACGCCAACTTCACGAAGGAGCCAAGCCACACCAGGCTCTCGTGTCAAAAGGTTTGCGATGAAAGCCCCTCTCCCTGGCGTTAGTTATTAACAATTACTTATAGGAGTGCAAGCAAGAGACTTGAGTTTACGCCTTTGGCCACACGCAAACTGTCGCCCAGTCAAGTTGAATCTTCACCTTTCCAGATAGCACGATCTCGCCTGCATGTCTCCTCGGTCCCAACTAGTCTTCCTTGTCGGGAAGGAGAATTTTCTTTGGTTTATTCTCATCT